ACACACTTTTTCTCTCTGATCTTTCAATATGTTTTCTGCTTTAATTCCTTTACTTATTTTTTTAAATTTCTATACAAGATTCTACATTTTAAAACGAAAGATAAAAGATGTGAGACATTTAACAGATACACTGTATGTTTAGGAGAGATATTTATTTATTTATTTTATTTTTTATTTTATTATTATTATTATTATTTTATTTATTTATTTATTTATTTATTTATTTATTTATTTATTTTTATTATCATTTTTTTTTTTTTTTTATGTTACAGATCATTGTAAAAATATGGAAAAAAGAAAGTATTAATAATATTAACGTGAAAGATTTACTGTCCTGATTTGCCGTTTTCTCCCAAATGTAACTGATACCACATGAGTGGAGAAGTCATTAGAGAAAGCGAACGCAGGAGTTGGAAGGCATTTAACGCCCCTCCTGCTTCTTCCCACATCTGTTTCTCTTTGTCTCTCGATCTCTCCCTCTCTGCCACACACACACACACACACACACACACACACACACACACACACTTTCTCTTTCTGATCTTTCAATAGGTTGTCTGCCTTACTTCCTTTTCAATTCTATATTTATAAGATGATATAATTAAAAAAATTACAATAAATGCAGTGCGATATTTAACAGATATGTGGAGGAGACAATATTTTATACGTTACAACTCAGGACTGCGCTCGCTCTCAACATATGGAATATGCTCCATTTGGGAGAAAACGACACGGGGGTTGAGAGAATCTTTTCCCTTCTTTTTTGTCTTTTTCACTTAAGAGAGAGAGAGAGAAGCGGAGGGCGTTATAATATCTTACAAATTATGCGGGTCATTAATTTTTTCCTTTTTTGTTGTTTTAACTAATGGATTTTTGGGATGAACTAAGGAATAACTTATGTACAGACGAGATCGACAGAGGGGAGAGAAGTGGGGGGAGGGGGGTAAATATAGGCCTACCTCTCAATCTTTTTGTTCGCTTTCTATTATAGCCTCTCCACACATCTGGTATTAGTCATATTTGGGAGAAAACGACACGGCGGGTCAGGAAATCTTTTCCTTATATTTTNATTCTATATTTATAAGATGATATAATTAAAAAAATTACAATAAATGCAGTGCGATATTTAACAGATATGTGGAGGAGACAATATTTTATACGTTACAACTCAGGACTGCGCTCGCTCTCAACATATGGAATATGCTCCATTTGGGAGAAAACGACACGGGGGTTGAGAGAATCTTTTCCCTTCTTTTTTGTCTTTTTCACTTAAGAGAGAGAGAGAGAAGCGGAGGGCGTTATAATATCTTACAAATTATGCGGGTCATTAATTTTTTCCTTTTTTGTTGTTTTAACTAATGGATTTTTGGGATGAACTAAGGAATAACTTATGTACAGACGAGATCGACAGAGGGGAGAGAAGTGGGGGGAGGGGGGTAAATATAGGCCTACCTCTCAATCTTTTTGTTCGCTTTCTATTATAGCCTCTCCACACATCTGGTATTAGTCATATTTGGGAGAAAACGACACGGCGGGTCAGGAAATCTTTTCCTTTATATTTTCAAAACTTTTTTAAATATTATTTTTACTTAGCACAGACGACCATCTATCCAAGTTTTTACAAAGTACATAATTAGTCTCCTTTTAATTAAGTCCTTTTAGTCTCTTTTTATTAAAATATATCTGTTCAACATATCCAACATTTTTTTCTAACTATAACACCTTAAAGAGAAATAAATTAAATGGTTAAAAAAAAATAATGGAGATAACTTATTGAAAGAAAGACAAGATTGAGAGAAAGAGAGAGATAGAGGAAGGAGAAATGGGGCAGGGGAAATACCTTTTAACCCAGAGCTTTAGGAGAAACCGGCAATCCAGGGCTCCGTATCTCGAAAGCTTCGCTATGTTGCGCACGTGCGCAAGCGTCTCGATTCCATAAATCGCCCATACTCGACCCATATAATACACGGTAGCCTCTTTTTGATATAGCGATTCGCAATGCGCGATGCTTTAGAGATACGGGGCCCTGCATTGCACTCCTAAAGCCGTCTCCATATGATGCTGCCTCGCTTTAGGAGAAACCGGCAATCTAGGTCAGAAACGGCAAATCAGGACACAGGCAAATCAGGACAGTTGTTAATAGATGGCGTACCAGTAGAATATAGAGGACATTGTGCTTTTCGGGGACAAATGAAGAAAGATCGCCTTCGTCGGGGTCAACAATTGCATTATTATGGATTAAATCTATTTACATTTTTCTTTTTTACCTACACAGTTTGGAAATATTTTGCTCCTTGTTATATAAATTAAAGCGATTTTGGAAAAAAAAGAAATGTTATCTTGAATTTTTGCAAGGGTTTAAATCTATAAATATGTGTTTTCAGACTCTTTTTAAATATAAAAGTAATGCTTTTTCCCACATCTCTCTCTCTCTCTCTCTCTCTCTCTCTCTCTCTCACACACACACACACACACACACACACACTTTTTTTCTCTGATCTTTCAATATGTTTTCTGCTTTAGTTCCTTTACTTATTTCTTTTTAAATTTCTATACAAGATTCTACATTTTATAATGGGAATTAAAAGATGTGGGA